TGCTGCTGCTGGTGCCATCATGTCCTCTCTGCATCTTCCAGGGTTTGCCAGGCCTCCCTGGCATCGCTGGACCGAAGGTAGGTGACACCCCCCCGCCAGCCGTGAGCCCTCCAAGGTGAAGGCTCGGGGGTCCCTGTGCCAGAGATCGAGTGCTTGGGCTGTCTCGGGGGATCCCTCTCCCCAAACGGGCCCTTCGCTGGGCTGGACCCTCGCCGGGGTTGGCACTGGGCAGCCCGGCCCTGCTGCCCCCCAACGCCTATGCTGTGTTTCAGGGGGACCCAGGGGAGCCTGGATCCAGAGGGGAGCCGGTGAGTACCCAGCGCAGAGCAGCAAGCTGAGAGCACCCCAGCATGGTGGGAATTGCTGCCTCTGCCCCAGGCAGCTCCGCAAAGCGATGGCAGGGCCTCTGCGTGCCCCAGTGCCAGCGCTGCGGTTCAGGGCTGCTCCGTGATGCCCTGCCCAGCTCTGACACCCACAGGCCTCACGGGGGCAGGACTGAAGGGCAGGCTCCAAAGAACCCTGCCCCATGCTTTTTGCTGCAATGTTGACTCTGAAACCTACTGAGGGCAGCATCAGTGCCGTTGTAGGTCGTCTCATTCCCTCTTGCTCTGCAAACCTAGGGGCGACCTGGCAACCCTGGAGCGCGCGGTGAGCCTGGGACAGGAGTGGTAAGTTCCCCAGTGGCCTGCCTGACCCCCAAAGTAAGCTCCTACCACGGGGAGGTCAGCGAGGCTGGGACGTTATCCCTGGGGGACAGCGCAGCCTCCAGAATGCTGACGGGGTGAGCAGCCTGGCCCCAGCTTCATTTTTGATGTCCCTGTATTGCAGAACATCGAACATAGCCTGGAAGCCCTTGGCATCAAGGTATGTAGCCAGCAGCCCTGGGCCCCCGCTCGTGGGCCGGGGGCTGTTCCTGCCGCCTGGCCACTGGAGGAGGGACACCTGGTCATGGGGCTGGCAGGTGGCGGGACGACCCCCCTGACCGGTGGCTCTTTCTCGCTCTCAGATCTCCTCCCTCAAGGAGCTCACGGGTGCCTACGACGGGAGCTCGGACTCATTCCTGCCCGTGTCCGAACGCCTGCGGGGCCAGAAGGGCAGCAGAGGGGAGCCGGGAGAGAGAGGGCCTCCGGGCAGAGAGGTGCGCAGCGGCTGCGATGCTCACGC